TGGATGGATGGATGGATGGATGGATGGATGGATGGATGGATGGATGGTATCAAGCTGCAGATGCAGGGTTTATACTGGAACACATCATCAGTTGTCTCGAATGATGATGTGTTCAACGGCTTCAGTGTTGGAGTTGATTAGAAGAAATGACCATGATGTAACACATTATTTCTTTCTGATATCATTCATTTATATTGTTACATAATTTATAATGGCATTCATCCTTAAAAATGTATCATTTTTTTTAGTTAGAATTGGCCATTATTTTCTTATGAGAAGCTCCAAGCTACCACTTCAGGGAATACAGACAAATTATTTGTGTAAATAAATAAAAGTTTTCCTTGAAGAAATGCAAATCACCTGCTGTCTTACAAAGATGTACGATCTATCAAAGACATTTCATTTCACTGAAGGCAACATTCAATTTTCAATGAATGTCTTACACAAATTTACACTAAAATGCAAAGAATCTCAAAACTTAGCTTGGAGGTGATGTCTAAAGCTAAGCTACAGGAGCTTGATTTGTCTGAAAGTTGAATTTTAAGTTATATATGGATCATGATCCTTGTCTTTCGACTTCTTCTTGGAAAAGCTGCCACAGTGGATCATCTGCATCCATCTTACCCTAGATGTAGCATCTCTGCACATGCCACTCTAATTTTGTCTCCAAACCTGAACTGTCCATCTGATGTGCTTATTTCTAATCCTGTCTATTTGGATCACTCCCATAGAAAATCTTTACATATTAACTCACCATCTCTTCCAATTGTTTTTTTAAGTACCACTGTCTCCAATTATACACTCAGCAGATATTTATAAAGACAATATGTTGACTGAACACTAGAGAAATTGCATTCTCGGCTGAAAAAAGCAAAATGCTAAAAAAGCAAAGGTTAGGTAAAAGTTAAAAGCAATAAAAGGCTTGCTATATATAAATCAGGAAAAGCAAGCTCAAAGGAATATGGTACAAAATACTTGCTAGAAGCTAAATGTGGTAGAATGTTAGCTAATAGTAGCAACAGGCAAGCTAAAAGTTAGAATAGCCAAAATGCTATCTAAAAAATTAAAAGTAGTGGCAAAAGGCTAGATTAAAGCAGGCAAATAATAGCTTAAAAACTAAAAGTAGCAGAACAGTAGTTAAATGCATAATGTAGCTGAAGCTAAAAACTGAAAGCAGCACAAGGAGCCAAAAATACAGCAAGTTTTTTGAAGCAGTTTTTAAAGAGAACTGTAGTTTTAAAGGAACTCACACACACACATATATGTGTGTGTATATATATATATATAAATATATATACTTTATATATATATATGTATGTGTGTATATATATATGTATATATATATATATATATATATATATATATGCAGTATAAGTAACACAACCCAACATAACATAAAAAAAGTTGTAGCACCCATCTCCTGAATGAGCAAATCACTCTGATATATTAATGGTTAAAAGAACAAACTATGCAGATTTCGTTAGATTGCAAAAATTATAACAAAAGCCAAAACAACAGGAAAACAACAGTGAATGCTGATGCAGCGATCTCACAATGAGAAAACATTATTAAATTAACAATATACAGTAGATACAACTGTCTCATGTTCATTTAAATACAGATAAATTGGTTAAACACAACAGTGTCACTTTGATCATCTCTGCACAAGTTTCTATTCTATCTTTCTTTATTGACACTTGATGACAAAACAAGCAATTATAAACCAAATCAATATATTTTATTGATGACCTTTCTTCTTTCAGAGAGCCAAACAGATGATGAGCCATCCTTACCAGCAGCAACACCCAGGACTGGTCAACATCAACAACCCAGTGGCATCCATGGCTCCCATGATGGACATGCTGCCGCAGCGCCTCCAAGCCCCTCCCCTACAGCAACAGCACCGTCTCCATCATCATAATCAACAACCACAGCTTCCAGCTCCACCCCTCGCCTACCAACAGCGTTGCCATGCTCCATCCCCGCAGCAACTGGGAAGCAGCCGAGGCCAGCATCTTCACCACTCGGGGAATGTACCGCACGCCCAGTGTCATCATTCACCACCATCACGCCTGCAGCAGAGCTCACCACCTGCACCCTCCTTGTCTGCCCCACCACAGGTGCTTTACTTTATATTCAGTGAATAATCATTTGGGTTATGTTTATGGTCTTAGGCACAGTGAGGTTACTTTATTATGATATTTCTCCCCACAGTTATCTCCAGTTGCACAACAGATACAGCCCTCCCAGCTATCCCAATCCCAGCTATCGCAATCCCAGCACGCCGTGCAGGCTGGTGATAGCTGCAGCGGCGGCGGAAGCAATCGTCGCAGAAGGACAACAGAGCTCGACCCAGACGAAAGGAGACAGAAGTTCCTGGAGCGTAACCGTGCTGCTGCCACCCGCTGCCGACAGAAGAGGAAACTGTGGGTGTCGTCTCTGGAAAAGAAAGCCGAAGAGTTGACGCACACAAACCTGCAGCTCCAGGTGAGGCTGACCGCAGATGAGTGCTAATACTCCAACAATACTGAGAATACTCAGAATCTGTGTGTGCCCCCAGAATGAAGTGACATCCCTGAGGTCAGAGGTCGGTCAGCTTAAGCAGATCCTGCTCACACACAAGGACTGTCCTGTTACAGCCCGGCAGCGAGAGGCACAGGGGTACCCAAGTGAGTAGAACCACTTACCCTGTACCCCTGACTGGGAAGCTCACCAGCTTTACCAGATTTTCATCTTCATCGCCACTAAGCTCCATTAAGTCACAAAATTCCTCATATGAGCACACATAAATCACAAAATACATCCAGAGACCCTTAACTGTGCCCTCCAACGGACTTTAGAGTAAAACTTGCGTTTAATCCTGCAGTCTCCAAGAAAAAGAATGCACTTTTGTTCCTCAGGAGAGCGAATCAAATAAAAAGTTGCACTCAAACCTCTCCATCTGAATATTTCACCCCATCTTTTGTAATATTTAGTGAGGGGTGTGTGTGTGGGGGGGGGGGTGTCATATATGCACTCCGAGAAGGCTAAAATGAAAGTGATAGTTTTAATAACATCAAAAATAGAAGAATATGCTGCAAAAGTATCAGAGAACAAAACAGGAAGTATGTCTTATATTCATGTATTTTTATTGCTGCCTTTTTTTTTTTTTACCTGAATGTACAGTATTCAACTATTAAAATAATAATTAATTTTTATTTTATTTTATCTGAACTGCAATGGGCTTTTTTTACTCGTTACTGCTGGCAAAGCTCCTGTCGCGATCCAAGCATTATTAGTGACTTTGACAGATGTCTCTGTGTCCAGCTGCAGGGGTGAGTCCAGGAGGAAGTCCCACCACCCCTGCAGACCCTGAGTCTCAGCTGCAGGCCATCCAGCACAACAGCATTTCCACCTCCTCAACAGCCGGAGGCGACACACTCCCCGGACTCTAACCCTTCCGCCTTTAGATGAAATGCTGAACTGGATGGGGGTGCAAAATATGAGCCTTGTAAAAAACTGTGATGGTTCCACGACAACTGGATTGTGGGTTCATGCAGGAAATATCTGTGTTTTTAACACCATCAGCTTGCGAGCGAACAGGCTATCCAAACACAATCACACCTTTATGCTCCTATTTGCACTAATTTAGAAAAGCAAGCAACTCTTAGACAGTATATGCATTTCTAACTGAGCAGCTGTTGCACACCTTCTGCCTTTTATTTAAAGCAAAAAGCTTGCAGTTAATTTTACAACTGCATTTGTTCATATATAT